ATTTCTCTTGCACACACCCCTCCCCTTGTCTAGGTCCAGTCCCATGTGGAGAGGTTAGGTCTGGGACCATGGTCATCTGGTTCAGAAGGTGCCGGACTGGTGGGTGCAGAAGGTGGAAAGGTGAAGCCGGGCGCGGTGGCACATGCCTATAATCCCAGTGGCTCAGGAGGCTGAGGCAGGAGGATTGCGAGTTCAAAGCCAGCTTCAGCAACTGAGTAGCAAGGTCCTAGCAACTCAGCAAGACCCTGTCTCTAAATAAAATGCAAAAAAGGTTGGGGATGTGGGGATGTGGCTCAGTGGTTAAGCACCCATGGGTTCAATAGCCAGTACCAAAAAAAAAAAAAAAAAAAAAAAAGCAGAAAAAGGTGGGAGGCGAGGGTGGGGATGTTATTGGAGAGCCTCAGGTTTCTATTTACTCTGGTAGGCAGTGGGGAGTCATGGAAGATTATTAAGCAGAGAGGAAGATAATCAGATTTAGAGAAACTGATCCCAGCAGGGGGGCCTGTGAGAAGGGCAGAGCAGACATAGAAGGCAGATCTGACCACGGTTCTTGGGGGAGGGGAGGGGAGGGGAGGGGAGGGGAGGGGAGGCGAGGGCCGGCTGAGGCCTCCTCTGGCGGCCTTGACTGGACTGGGAAGGGGTGGGAGCAGAGGTGAGGCGGAGGAGTGGGTCCTGGGTGAGGTGGCACCTCTAGCTTGTTCTGTGGTTGAAGGAGGACCCAGGGGCAAGGCAGGCTGGGGGTGGAAGGCGATGAGCTGGCTATTGGCTGGCTGGAGTCGGGGGTGTCTGTGGGCTTCTGGGAGCATGTCCAGGAAGCAGCTGGAAATGCGGGTTTCACAGAGAAGGAACCAGAAGGTCAGAGAGGTTGTTTTTGCCAACTTTGCCAAAGCTGGAAAAAGGCCATGTGAGGACTTGAACTCAAGTCCGAGGAGCCAGCTAGGTAGCAGCACTTTGTTGGTTGGAGTCCTGACTTTGGGCTCAGCTGCCTTTCCCCGGGAGTAGGGGTACTGCAGCCGTGTCCTCCACTCACTTGCTGCAGAGCCCAGCAGCACAGGGCATGGCCAGCAGGTTCTTCAAGCCCACGTCTCTGCTCCCTAAGGGACACTTTCCAACCCGCCCTGGTATCACAACACCAGGGCTTCCCCATCCGCCACCCAGAGCCGCAGGCGTCCTGCCAGCCCACACTGCCTGGGTGCTGACTGTGGGCACCCAGCGCCAGACTCTTCATGGGTGCCCTCTCCCCAGTTCCCACAGAAGCCTCCCAGGACAGCGCCATTGTTTCCACTGACACTTGGGAACACGAGGGGCAGGGCCTGCCCCCTCCACTGCAGGTTCAGCCTTGCTCCGTGGGGCAGCGATGGGGCTGTGGGACCTGGACAGGAGTGACAGCTCTCTGAGCCCCCACATAGAAAGTGAGGCCTCTCCAGAGAGCCCCGAACCCGGCTACCCCACTGCCCTGGCTTCAGGTCTGCAATTCTAGCTCTCAGGACATTTTCTTCCCTCCCCAGCCATTCTGCTCCTCCTGGCCACCTCCCCTGGGAACAGCCAGGCCTGCCCCGCCCCCTCCCGGGCTGTGCTCCTGGCAGCTCTGCCACCCTGGGCTCTGGTCCGGGGGTGGTCCCTGGCGGAGAGGGAGGCAAGCAGAAGCTGGGCTGGGTGCAGCGAGAGGAGGGCCTCTGGAGACCCCCGGGCCCCCGCTTCTCAGCTCTGTGTGCTCCAAGCTGGGTGGGCAGGGCTTTGGGAAAGGGGTGGCTGGAGGTTTTAATCACTTTATCAATGTTTGTTTGTGTAATTCAGCCTCGAGATGCTTTTCCCTCCATCTGTCCCCACCATCTGCTCCCATCAGGATTTTCCAAACCGTTTGGGACCCAAGAGGCACCCGAGTGGGGGTGGGCTGGGCCTCTGAGGGGGCTGGGGAGGGGCCAGCTCCACCTACTTCACTGAGAGGCTTCCAGGAAGGGTCTGGGCTTCTGAGTCACACAGAGCTGGGTTTGAATTTCTGACACTGCCACTTTCTTGCTGTAGCACCCCAGGTGGGGACTTCAATTCTCTGGGCCACATCTGTAAACTGTCAGAATCTCGGAGGATGAAATGAGGCGGCCCATGTAGAGCACTCTGCCAACTGTAGAGCCCTGTGGTCCCCTTTCCCTTTGTCCCCACGTGCTTCTTGGTGTCCCGGAAGCTGGCCTGCCTCTTTGGTGGGAGAGAGGGCAGCTGCCGCTGCTTTCTCAACCACTTGCCTCCCTTCTCAGATCCTGGGACTTGCTCGCTCTCCGGGGGACCCTGCCTGCTGCTCTGTCCTCTCGGTCATCCATCTGCATTTCTACTCTCAGCTGGGCCTCTCCCTCCCTCCTGGGTGCCTCAATCTTAGGTGGGAGGGGACTAGGCATCACAAACAAGGACACTCCCCCCACCAAGCTGGCCTTCAAAGAAGCAAACCTGTGGGCTCCAGTGTCACTGCTGCCTCAGCCATCTCTGGTCACGTCATCTGTTTAGCCTCTCTGCTTAGAAACGGGAAAGACTTGCTCCATCCAGAAGTGAGTGACCCAGGCCTCCTGACTTGCAGCCCTCTGCCCTGCTTTTCTGAGTTCTGCCTGAAGACAGAAGTCTTGGCTCAGGGGCAAATGCACAGTGTGGGAACACCCCAGCTTCTCCTTTGGCTCAGGGGGGCCTCCCAGGGCTTCCTAGGCCCCTGGGAGGGTAGAGGTGGTTGATGGATTGAGCCAGCAGAGCCCACTAGGGCCGAGCCCTGCCTCCTCAGGGACCCTACTCATTCTAGATGCAGGAACAGTCAAGGAAAGTGGGGTGCCCAGGGTGAAGAGAAGACATGGTCCCACTTTGAGAAGCCCCCATCTAGTGGGGAGACAGGATGCAGACTGAAGGTCTGAGGGCAGGCTCCAGTCACTCTCACAGAGAAGAAAAGCCTGGAGGAAGCAGGAAATTAGGGTAAACTGAATCCCCCCACCCCCAGGATGGAGAGGAGGATTCAGACCAGGCTGAGAAGACTCCAGCTTCAGGCAGGAGAGAGAGAGGAGGGAGTCTTGGGGGAAGGAAAGGCTGAGAGGGTGACTGCAGATTAGGCCCCTCTCCCTGTCCCAGGCATGACAGGCCCACTGGCCCACCGAGGAGAGGTGAGGGAGGTTGTCACTGGAGTGGCTTAGGGTGGGGACTGAGCAGCTCTTTGCTCCCCCCACCCAGGTCCTCATACAGGAGGCAGCTGGGAACCACCCACATACGTCTGGCGTCTCTCACGCCTCCACCGGGGGTCCCAACACCAGAGCCAAGGCACACAGTGGAGCCAGTGTTCCCGAGGGCCCAGCTGTCCCTCCACCTCAGTCTGATTCCCTAGCTCTTCTGGTGGAGAAGAGCTCACCCCCAAGCAGGAGGGACTACGGCTACAATCCAATGACCTGTGAGGCTTAGTCTGGCAGCCTAGATGGGGAACTCTGGTCTGAGTTCTGGGGAGCTGGGAGGGTCTAAGCTGCAGATACTGAGAGAATATGGCTAGGAGGAGCCGTCTGGGTACCTGGTAAGGGCTGATAGCTCTACCTCCTAAGGAGGTCCAGAAACAAGACTCACCACTGCCACCCTGGTCATCTCTCACCCTGAAATGTCCCCCCTGCTCCTTCCCTTGCCTCCCACTCCTTAACATCCGTTCATGACATAATGGCCCAAGGACTTCCCATTTCATCTGTAATGCAATCAATCTTAAGGCTTCAACATGGACCCCACAGCTCTTGATCTGCCACCCTCCCAACCTTGTCCCAAATAACTTATCTAATACATTGTAGACTTGACTTGTATGTTATAACACACATCACTTCTTTCCACACCTGTAACCTCACCGCCTAGGACAGTGCTGGATGCAGAACTAGGGCTTGATTAATATTTGTAGAATGAATGAATGAGGGCATGTGGATTCAAGCCCAAGCCCTCCGCTCATTAGTTGAGACATTGGAAAATTTGACCCATTTAACCCCCACCAAGCATCAGTTTCCTGATCTGAAAAGTGGAGAACAAGGATCATATTCTAGAGATGGAAAAGGACAAAATTTAACAATTCCCAGCATGTGGAAATTGTTGCCAAGATCAGAGGAAGGAAGATGCAGCCCCCATACCGGCAGGAGGAGCTGTAAGGTGGTCAACAACTCCGGAGAGGACTGTCCACCGTGCAGTCAGAGGCCTGTGCATCTCAGAACCTGGGAGCTGGAGACTGTTCTCCTGTTCTCACAGGTCACGAGCCTGCACCGGCAGAGAGGCTGGAGTGTACGCGGCATCGCTGTTGGGAGGTGGGATTAATTCCGAGAGCGGGTGGGGGATGAGATCGAGAGTAGTAGGCAGGAGTGGGGGCGGGCTCTATAAAGTGGAGGTGGGCAGGGGGTGTGTCTAACCCTCCTAAGACCTCGGGACTGAAGGAATGGGCGCTCCTCGTTCCCCGAAGAGACCCTAGTTCGGTTGGATCTGGAGTTGAGGCGAGGAAGCAGGGAGGGTGCCTAGCGAACCGCCCAGGATTCGGATTCCGCCCTCGGAGCGACGTGCAGCCCAGCGCCCAGGTAGGGATGAGGGAAGAAGGTGGTGGCGTGGCCAAGGATTGTCCCCTGCTTAGGAAAGAGGGCTCTCGGCACTGACCCGCTCCTCCATTCAGGCTCCCTGAGTCGAGATGCTGAGATAGGGACCCCGGTTCTCTTCCCCTGGAGGGGTGCTCCCTCGAGAGCTGGAGCAGGGCGGTGGGGGCGTCCCCCTCCCTCTCGGGGCGGGGGCGGAGCCTAGCGCACCGCTCCCCCTACCCGGGGCTGGAGGGGACCCCCCAGGGGAGGGGCTCGGGGCGAGCGCTGCGGGGCGTCTCCCTCGCAGTCCCGCCCGCCCCTCTGGCCGCCTCTGCCGCCGCGCGCCGCAGCAGCGCCGCCTTCCCTGCGCAGTCGGTGTCTCGGCGTCGCTGGGTGAGTGGGGGCGCTCCGGCCGGGCCCCGGGGATGCAGGGAGGGATCTCCGGAGCTAGGGGCCACGTCCAGGGCTCCCCAACCCCGCGACTCTCCGTGCCTCCTGGGATTCTTCCCACCTGGAGCGCGGAAAGCGGGGATCCCCGGGAAACACGCCGCGCTCTCCAGGGTCCTGACCGCCGAGCGGCCAGCCCCGAGGAGTAGGGTTTCGGTCGCCCCGGAGCGCCCCCTCCAGGAGGGGTCACGAGCGCGTGTGCTGGAAGGATTGAGACGTGGTCCGAGGGCCAGAGCTGCGGGGAGGTTTGTAGAGGGGACCCAGGGTGGGTTTCTCAGGTCGAGCTGCAAGGTTCTTCCCATTTGGGGAACTGGGGGTGTTTGCGGGGACAACGGAATCTTCTTCCAACTGGGAGAGGCAGCTTTGAGGGTGTCAGAGAGGAGGGGGCACTGAAGGAGCTCTCCTGCCCAGCGCATCTTTATGCCCCCGCCTGGGTGACCCAGTTCCTTGGACCTTCAGGAGGGGAGTAAGGGACACATTCCCCTGCTCAGCCCTGCGCATTTCCTCAGTCCCTTCCCACACACTGTTTTGGGGGTCCTCAGCCTGGGGCAGAAGAGACTGATATAGAAAGGAGGGGCTACCAACTTACAGAAACATACATGTGACACGCTGCTGAAGAGACACACAGGTCTCCCTAAATGGCCACACAGGCACATTCGCTTCACATTGTGACAGGTGCATACCTGGTCACATGCACATATAATGCACATGCACAGACATGGACGGAAACACACCAGGAGATAAATGCATGCAGAACCCAGGGCACACATCATGCATGAGCACATGTATTCTCACACATGCACCCGCCCACATGTGCATAGAGCTTTGTGCATACGAACATACAAGGAACCTCCCTCACCCTATCTCACTCTCATCCCCAAGCTCAGAGGGAGGGGGGTCACCTGCACACATCCCTGTCCTGAACTGTCTGGCTGTCTCCTCTCCATTGCCTTCTCCTCAGCCTCACCCTCAAGCCCCTGCCCCCAGGAGATTAAAGGTGAATGCTGGGGGAGGTTGGATGGGCCAGGGGTTTCCCAGGAAAGGAGCCCCCATGGGAAGGGCTGCAGCTCCCTCTCCTGGGACCTGACAGCATCCCTGGGAAAATAAAGCAAAATAACAAGGGTGCCTGAAGGTCCCACGTGCAGCTGGCCATGTGAGAGGTGCTGGCATTCGAGTTGACATGTGATGGCATGTGTGAGACATGTGGGGTCGTGGGCTGGTGTGTTGATGCACAGGGTATAGGAGTTGTGCGTGGTGCTGGGTGTCAGTGCGTGTGAGTGTGGAGCAGAGGGAATGCTGTGCATGGAGGCATGATGACCATGGGTGGTGTGGGCTGGTATGTGAGTGGCATGGGCCCCAGGGGGTGGTGAGCCGTGTAGCATAAGATGTGTCAGCGCACATTTACTTGCATATTATTGTGCACACTTTGGTGGCATCTAGGTAATACAAATCATTTTTAGTTATCTAACACTTATGTAGCACCTGTCTGTGCAGGCATGGTTTTAAGTGGTTTCCATGCATTAACTAATTTAATCCCCTCCAACAATCCCAGGAGGTAAGTGCTTACCCCCACTTTACTTGAGGCAGAGAGTTTAAGGAATTGACCCAGGCACATAGCTGGTAAGAGGCAGAGTTGGGATTCAAACCCAGGTGATCTGAGTTGGAGGCCAGATGAACACCTATCCTGTGCTGCCTCTTACAGGCACACCTGCAGAAGAGAGCAGAGGGCTGTGATTGGGCTACAGGTGTATTTTTTTTTTTTTTTTATGGGAAGTCATGTGGGAGGCAAAGAGCGGGCAGAGGCTAGGAGGAAGGACCAGAAATCCTTCTGCACCTCCCTGGGCAACTCTAAGAGTTGGACCTATCGTGTCATGACTGTGTGACATGAAACAGGTGACCTCTCTTCAATGAACCTGCCTTCTCATCTGAAAAATGGGGCAAATTCTGACTTCCCTTCAGGAGGGTGAAAAGATGTGCACTCTTGAAGGCACCAAGAAGGGTCTGTGTAAATATGAGCCCCCTTTCCTTCCTCCCTCTCCAGCTCGGTTCCTAGAGAAGTGTAATGTCTAGGGAAACGGTGTGGAGCATGTCACAGAGGCCACAAGCCTGGATGCAGGCTGTGTGACCTTGGGCCAGTTCCTCTCTCTTGTTGGGTCAAAGGAGGGGTTGAGGTGGCTGGTGTCTGGGGGCCCTTCTGGAATGGTTACAGGTGACCAGGAGGTCCTGACCACTCCTCTCTGCCCCTTGACCCCCTTGGGGACCCAGGTGGGACTTGGCTCTTCGGCCATGGGCAAGCAGAACAGCAAGCTGCGGCCGGAGATGCTGCAGGACCTGCGGGAGAACACCGAGTTCTCAGAGCTGGAGCTGCAGGAGTGGTACAAGGGCTTCCTCAAGGACTGCCCCACAGGCATCCTCAACGTGGACGAGTTCAAGAAGATCTATGCCAACTTCTTTCCCTATGGCGACGCCTCCAAGTTCGCGGAGCACGTCTTCCGCACCTTCGACACCAACAGCGACGGCACCATCGACTTCCGGGAGTTCATCATTGCGCTGAGCGTGACCTCGAGGGGCCGCCTGGAGCAGAAGCTCATGTGGGCCTTCAGCATGTACGACCTGGATGGCAACGGCTACATCAGCCGGGAGGAGATGCTGGAGATCGTGCAGGTGGGCCCGGGCCCGAGAGTGCCAGGCCAGGCGGCATGCCCTGGCCACCCCTTCCTAACTTCTCAACAGAGCTGGTAGGCAAGTGGTGACAGGTGCTATTCTTATGACCCCATTGATGGAATTCTCTTGTAGGAAATAATGAATTGCTGATTTAAAGAAACACTGAGAAAACTCCCAAGTCCACTGGGCCCAGATTCACCAATTAATATTTTGCTTCATTTTTATATGAATGCAATATTTTCTTGTTTTGAATGCTGACCCTTACCCCTAGGTAAAGGATGTATTTCCTAAGAATAAGGACATTCTCTTACATAACCCATAATATGATTATCCAAGTCAGGACATTTAATATAGAAACGATGCTATTATCTAATTGACAGACCATATTCCAATTTTGCCAACTGTCTTCATAATGTTCTCTATAGCACTTTTTTTTTTTTTTGCCCTGGTCTAGGAAGATGCCTTGCATTTGGTTGTCTGTTTAGTCGCCTGTTGTCTGGAATAGTTCCTCAGCCTTTCTTTGTGTTTCATGACTTGACATTTCTGTAGAGTACAGGCCAGTTGTATTTTATTGATCATTTACTCAGGGAGGAAGCATGCTTAGAGAGGTCAAGGCACTTTCTGGAGGCCACACAGCCTGAGAGGGCACCTGACTCCAACAGTCACATTCTAACTGGATACTTGGCCATTTTCCAACTAATAGATAGAGGGACCACCAAGGGCACAGTACTTGGACCTCTTTTCCTTCCTCTTAGTTTCTTCCCCCTTTTTGCCTCCCACATGACTTCCCACCAAAAAATACACCTGTAGCCCAATCATGGCCCTCTGCTGTCTTCTATAGGTGTGCCTGTACTGTGTCCTCGGTGGTACTGTGAGGTGCTTATACCCATATGCTGAGTGCATCCTCACTATACTTCCATGAGGCTCGGAGAGGTAGAGTGCTTTGCCTGAAGTCTCACAGTACATAAGTGAAGTCAAGCTCAGCTGGCCACTACTCAGAGCTGCCTTTTGTGTGGGATCTGGGCTCCTAGCCAGGAGATCTGGCTTCCGGTTCTGGAGTCGGCCTTAACTCTTAGGTTGCTCATTTGTAAAATGGGCATGGTGATGCTGACCTCAGAAGATTTAGGGATCTGATATGAGAGCCTTTCTGAGTACACATTTAAGTGTGATATGTGTTAGCTCATCCATGTCGGCACCCACTCCCTTAGCCCAGCACTGAAGGTGGTCAGGGCCCTGTTCTATTTTACCTATCTGGTTCCTTGCTCACTTCCCCCAGCTTTCTCCATCTATAAAGGGTGTGTTGGGGGGTATTAAGCCCCCGCTTCCCAGGCTCTGGCAGGGATAAATTGGGATGGTGGTTCTAGCACAGGGTGCTGCATATATTCAGTACTCAGTAAATGTTAGTGACTGTGGATCATTTTTTTTTTTTTTGGATCTGCATATCTTCTTCTCTAGTCAAAATGGCCTTTTTAACATCTCTGAGATACCTGGAGTAATGCTGTGGCGCAGACTTGCACAAGCCATTGTCCCCTTCCCTTCTGCATCTCTGAACACTCTCCCTTTGGGTCCCTCAGCTCTGTGAACCATTCCCCCTCCCAACTCATCTGCCCGCTCATTGGCTTCTCTTGCTATGGTCTGGCTCTGTGCTCTCTAGCTGGAGCAGAGTGGCTGCCTCAGGAGGTGTTGCTGTCCAGTGGAGACCTAGTTCTTCCATGTCGCCAGCTCCTGTGGGCCAGTTGCTGTATGGTGGAGTTCCTGATGGAAGGATCACAGTAGACAGGGCAGTGGAGAATCACTCAGGGATCAGCTGGAAACCAGCCAATCCAGAGGGATTCGTGTTCTGCTTAATGTGGTCACGCCAGCCTGTGCTGGTAAATCTGAGTCTTGCTGGAGCTAATGCCACTTGTGCATTAGGACTTTCTGGCTGGCCTCTGCTTTCTAGGCCCTGGCTTCCTTTATAGTGGCTCAGAGGCCCCAGACAGGGGTGCAGACAGAGATCTGGAAACCCTGGTGCCTGATTAATGACAAATAGGCTCCAGTGAAACTATGAGCAGCAACTCCAATTCATTAGGAGACCCAGGAGGAGGGCTGTCACAAAGGGAGTGGTTACTCTCTAAGACACTGCTTAGTCCTCCTCAGGATTCAGCCTGGTGCCAGATGATGGGCATGATTCCTCTTGAGGGATCCCACTCTGGTGGGAGAGATCAATGTGTACATCACCCGGATCAGCATAGTGACAGGAGTATAAAAGTGACATTTAGGATCCCAGGGGACTGAGGGACAGGGGAAAACCTGGCAACACGGTGGATGAATGATGACTATCATGCAAGCTGCTATTTAGTGACCACTTACTCTAGCCAGCCACTCTTCTGATTGTTCTATCTTATTTAATCCACTAGGCAATCCTAATGAGGGAGATAAAATTAATCCCATTTTACAAATGGAAACTGAGGGTCACAGAGGTTAAGCCCTTGTCCAAGGCTACACGGCAAATAAGTAGCCACTTCCGAGTTGACATTACTTCAAAGCCCTGCTGCTGGTCACCATCCCAGACTGTCCAAGTATCCACCCAGCAGCTAAGAGGTGGCAGGCTCAAGTCAGTTGGTCTCTGCCATCCATTCCCTTCTCGAGCCCTGGTTTCTTATCTGGAAAAGGGAGATGATGATTCCTGTCTTTCAGGGCTATTGTGAAGTCTAGGAATATGCATGTAAGAGACCTGGCATCTAGGCAGAGTCCGAATATGCTGGGGAATCTCCGAGGCTCAGGGATGTTCAGCTGTGAGCTGTGGTGGAGTTACCCTTCTAGAGAGGTTGGCAGCAGGCAGGCTGTGAAGTGTCTTGAATGCCAAAGGCCAAATGGTTTGGACTTGGAAAAAAGGCGGTGGGAGGTGTTGATGGTCTCTAAACAGGGGAGTGCCAGCCAGGTGTCAGGCACTGCATTAGGTCCAGAGGATCTGGGTACTAACTAGATGCTGGTGGTCCTTATCTGTACGGAGGGAATTAGGAACAATCCAACAAAGGCACAGTTACTTCCTGAGAAGTGTCCTCAAAGGAAAAAGCCCAGGAGGCTCTGGGACGCATATGCCCCAACTCAGCCTGGGTCAGAGAAGGACTCGCTAAGAAAGCATCGGATAATCTGAGCCCTATGGAGTGGGAGGCAGCAGAAGGAGGGCAGGGCAGCAACTAGGAGCAGGGTGCACCCGCGGTCTTGGAGAGAGGCCTGTGTGTGTGAGGGAACGGAGGGGGTGGCCTGGGGAATGAGGACATGGTAGTGTAGATTTGTGTTTGGAAAGAGCTTTCAGAGGCAGTGTGGGGTCAGACACGAAGGAAGGAGGCCAGAAAAGCAGCGTGGAGGTAGAAGCTGAACCTGAGGCAGGGGAAGTTTATGGGATGGGAGAAGAAGGGAGGCTTCTGGGAGGAGGTGTCAATCTAGAAGATTGAGGTGACCAGCGGGTGCTTGAGCTCTGGGTCGCAGGAACCCAGCCCATGCCACAGGCTGCGCACTCTGTGCTCTGTACATTGAGCACAAAAACCCTCCTTCGCTTCGCCTCGGGAGCTCCTGCACGTGGCAGCTGCCGCCCTCGGCCCAGCAGAGCTCAGGCTGTCCCTGCCCGTTGGCAGATGCTCATTTGCATTCATTTGCATAACCTTCCCCGCCCCTCTGGGCCCCAGCTGCCTCAACGCAGTCCTGCGCCCCCTGCGGGCCACCGACTGCACCGCAGCCCACTGCCACCCCCAGGGTCCCGGGTCCGCTTCCCGCTGCTGGGTGCTGGTGGTTCCTGAGCGGCCCCGCTAACCTTGTACTTACCCCCAAACCTGCGCCCAGGCACTGCCGCCTAAGCCCTCTAGCCCCTCGTCCTCTGGGCCTTCAGGTTCTCTAACATCTCTCCTGACTCCTTGCACCCCTCAATTCTTGATGCTCTCTCGGAGCTTTCGGGCTGCGGTGTCTTTGTTCGTGCGGCTCCCGGTGCCAGCAATTCCTTTCCCACCTAGCCCTCCAAGGGAGCTCGGCAGTGCCGGCTCCCATAGCCCTCTCTTCCGGAAGATTCCTAGATCCTCCTTCCCCAAATCCCGAGCGCCCCAGCCTCGGTGACCCCTCTCCAGCCCGCGCGGCCGGTGGGAGCGAGCGGGGGCTGTGTCTGCGGTGGCGGCCCCGCAGCTCTTCTCACTCCCCGCCTCTCCCCCGCCCCCAGGCCATCTATAAAATGGTTTCGTCCGTGATGAAGATGCCGGAGGACGAATCGACCCCGGAAAAGAGGACTGAGAAAATCTTCCGCCAAATGGACACAAACAACGACGGTGAGGGGCGGTGAGGGGCGGAGCGGGGCGGGTGGACGGGGCGGGCAGGTGGCGCTCCCTGCTTCCCTCCCTCGCGCCACCTCCCCTCGCTTGCCACAGCCTTCTCCCCCTCACAGCTCCCCTCGCCCCGCAGGCAAGCTGTCCCTGGAGGAGTTCATCCGCGGGGCCAAAAGCGACCCGTCCATCGTGCGCCTGCTGCAGTGCGACCCCAGCAGCGCCTCCCAGTTCTGAGCGACAGGAGCCAGGCCCCTCTCCTCCCTGCCTTCACCGGCCCCATCCCGGCTCTCAGCTTCCTCTCCTTTGTGTCTATCCAGGCTGGGGGCCAGACTGGGGACTCCCACCCCGGGTCTGCACTGTGGGGGGCCCCTGGAAAAGGGAAGCCTGCAAGTAAGGGCCCAAGTAAGCAAGCCGTTAGCATTCCACCGTCCAAGAAAGAGCTCCCTTTGGTGATGACAGAGATACCTTCTCCGACTTGGTCTGCTCCTCCGAGTCAGCCCGCCCTTAGCCAGACAGCCCCACCATCTCCCACCCTCCCATGTCTCTTGAGGCCAGGCACCTCCAGACCTGGGAAGTGCTCCCCCTCTGGTAGGTCTCAGACTGGGTAGAGGTTGGGGGTCAAGTCCAGGTGAGGAGCCTATTTGTTTGGAGGGAAGAGAAGGATTCCAGGGTTGTTGAGGGTTCAGGGTTGTGGAGGTTTGAGGAAGAAGATCCTTTAAGTTACTCTGCCCTGCAGGAGGGCTCCAACCCTTCCTGCCCAGTTCTTGGAGGCCGTGATAGGGATGCAACACCTCCCAGGATTCCAGCAGTAGCTGTGGTCCCATAAACCCTGGCTACCTTTGAGCTCTTGGATGGACACAGCTAGACACAGACCACAGATCTACCCCTCTGTATCCCGCCCCCCCACGGGCAGAGTCCTTCCACCGTGTCCTGCGTGGGAAAGAAGCGCAGGCCCCCTGGCTGAGCCCCTGTCCCCTCCTGCATGCAGCCACATGGAGCATCTCTGTTCTTTTTAATAACTTCAGAATAAAGTCTTGTTTCAGTGCAATGGGCTGGGTGGCCGGGGCAGGAGGTGAAAGCCCCCTCCCAGGTCCCCAAGGGTCCACTGAGCCCTCTTGGTGGGCTCTGGGAATCCTGGAGCCATCTGGGCCTTGATGGTCATCTGGGCACTGGCCACAGTTCAGGCTTGGTTGCAGGCCCCCAGTGACTGGGACTCAAGCGAAGCTTCCGCTCTCAGAGGGTCAGGGGCACAGAGCTGGTGCAGCTCAGCAGGTCATGGCCCTCCATGGACTCTGGACTCTCCTGAATCTGTGGAGACACAGGTCACTGGTGGGCCTACTGGGTCAAGGCTGGGGTTCCCTCCTCTAGGACACCCCAGGGATGGAGGAGAGAGGGTGGGGAGGATCTCTGGAGGGCAAAGGAGCATCATCATCCCATGCAAGAGCAAGGATAGACCCCTGGAGCATCCCCTACTCAAGCCCAAATGCCCCTTAGCCTGCCTCAACATTTGTCCTGAGCCCTGGGAAAGCCAGATGTTGTCAGTTGTGTGACTTAGCTAGGAGATCTGGCCTCTCTGAGCCTTTAAACCTCTCTCTTTGGAGAGACCCCATACAGAGGAGTGGGACACACCAGCCTGGGCTTCCCAGCAGGAACTCCAGGAAAATATGGGAAGTCAGGAGTATGGGGGGGACTTACCATGTGGTGGCTGCTTTTCCCCCACCAGGGCCTCAGTTCCAGCAACTGGTGGGCCAGCTGTGTGCAGCGCACAGCAAACACACTTTCCGCTACACAGAACACCAGTGAGATGCCCCAGAGGCACAGGCTAGAGCTCTGCAGGGTACAGGGGACAGAGATGACCACATGTGTGCCAAGACCCATTCCCACCCCTGTCAAGGGCCTGGGTGCCCCCATCCCGGGCTCAGGCACTCACGTAAATGCGGGTGGGGTCGAAGGGACAGTCGGGCGTGAGTGCCAGTAGTTCAGGGCTCACAAAAGTGCAGGCAGCCAGCAGGGCCCGTCCCTGGGTGGCAAAGGTCACGGCGATCGAGGCCAAGAGGCCAAGGGCACAGATCAAAGAGAGAAGAGCACACGCCACACTCGAGCTAAACATTGTCCAGCGCTGGATGGGGGAGGCCACTGGTCAGTGGACATCAGGCTTGGCCTTCCTGGGCAGCTCTGGCCTCCATGATGGTCAGGCACACCCCCTACCCTACAGCCCCATCCCAGGAGGCACCACATACCAGGGGGGTGCTGGGGAGGTAGCGTGACAACACGATGGCTGCAATGCCGGAGGTGATGACCTGGTGGGGGGGGGGGTTCAAGTCAGTTCTGACCCTGTGCTGGAGGACTGCAGGGGGAGTCAGGACTGTTCTTGGATAAAGATGCCACCAATGTCACCAAAGATGCTCTCCAAACCTCCACCTCCTTGTCTTGTGCTTAGCTTTGCCCTCACTGCCTCCATCTGCAGAGCCATTTCCTCCTTGTCTAGCCCTGGAGTGATCACACCCTGCCTATAGCCTTCCATGACTCCCCACTGTGAGGAGGCATGCCCAGGAGTACGCACGCCACAAGATACCTGTGACGTAATTCCCTGAAATGGAACAGATTTGGAAGAAACTAAGTAACTCAACTGACAAGGAATTAAAACCAAAATTATATATTGAAACAAACCAGGACACTTTATGGCGTAAAATTCAAAATCCCTAATAGTATTTGAAATTATTTCAGGGTCTCAGTGACCTGGCCCCAGCTCTCAGCTCCTCAGCCCCACCCTGAGCCACTGTCCTCCCTCATTGCCCAGGATGTGGACACCCACATGAAGGCTCCTGATGCTCACAAAACACCCTCCCTGCTCCCCGTACTGTGCAGATCCTTCCCTGTGCAGGCTTGCCAACCACCCTCTGTCTCAAGAACAGGACAACCTATGCACTGTCCACCCCAACAGCTGCCCTCTGGATCTTTGGGGCTCCATTCAGTCACTCTTCCTCCTTCTGTTCACTCAGTGTAATGGCAGAGTACCATGGGTATTCAGCAATGGCTTTCATTCATTGTGCAACCAGAACTAAGTGCCTTAACCTCTCTGTGCTAAGCCCCACTCTCAGGATGAGCTCACAGAAAGGACACTGGCTTTGGTATCAGAACCACCAAGGTTCAAATTCAGTTTGGCATCTTTGTAACAGCAGGAGGGGTGAATCTTGGTCTTGGTCTCCTCCTCTATAAAATGGAGATGATAACGGCCAATGATGCTGGATTGGTGAGAATTAACTGAGGAAATGAGGGCAAAGGAGAAGTGGTCCAGCCCAGAGCCCATTTCTGGGCCCATTACCTCCCCACTCTGCCTTCCTCACAATAACTGTAATCCCAAGGACACTGGCCACATTTGCATAGCCCAGCCTGTCCCACTTGATGCAGCCCTTCTGATTTGCTTGGGCCTTGTCTACCAGGTGTGGAGGCCAGCAGGCTGCCTGAGCTTTATTTTCAGACAGAGACAGGCTTAGTGAGGTCCCGGCCAGGAGTGGCAGGGATGAGCTCCCACACGGATGTGTAAATGTTCCTCCAAGGTCGCAGGTGCCTCTGCTGACAGGCAGGAAGAGCTCTATAAATCTGAGAATACCAGGCCACTTCATTTGTATATTCATCAAACAGGGGCTGTCACTGAGTCATAACAGGGCTCCCTTTATTGAGCAGTTGCTATAAACCAGGTCTAATGATAAACTCCTGCCAGCCTGGTTTTCTCAGGGTCTCCAGAACAGATCGTAGCCAAGCCCACCTCCATGTCTTTGCATGTGTCTTTCCATTCTGTACAGGGAATGCCATCCTGCTTCCTTTCCTACCTGCCAGCCCCAGGCAGGCCACATACCTGGGTTATTTATTGAAGTTCATCTGTGAACTCCTACACATCCATCAAAACCCTTCTGTGAAGTCCTCCTGGATCCTCCCAAACTGCTCTGATGTCACTTTATTCTGTCCAAGGGTAATTTGAATATTTCTTGGTGGTAATAACAATCCTAGTTCACACTAGTGCACACTTACCATGTGCTGAGCACATTATATGAAGCGCTTTCTGGGAATGATCTTATTCAAAACTCACCAGGACCCTGTGAGGAGGACACTTTTACCACCTCCATTTTATAGATGAGAAATCTGAGGCAAAGAGAATTTGAGTGACTTGGTAAATGGCATACTATGCTGGGGCTACCTGCTTATTCCCCCAAGCTGTGGTGGGGACTTGTCAAAGACCTTGCAAGCCCCTCCCTCCCACCAGTCACCCTCCCAGCCTGGTCGTACCACAATGGCAGAGGTGACTGAGAGGATGTTGACCACGCAGTACTGAAGAGCCACAGCATCCTGGGGGGCAGCGACATATCGCAGCACCGTGCCGTGCAGCACAGCGGCGATGATGAAGCTGACGTGGCCCAGCACCACCAGCACCAGGCCTGTCTTCATTAGCACCTTCCGGAAGTCATCCACGCTCAGGCCACCTGTGGGGGACAGAGACATGGGTGAGGCTTACTCTGCTAGGCAGAGGAGTAAACCTAACCCTGGAGTGATGGACACTGGGTCCTAAGTCTATTTCTGGATGACTCGGAGGCAGTACCTTTACATTTCTGAGCCTCAGTTTCCCCCTCTGTAATAGGGGTTCATGATTCATTTGTGAGTCCTGGGACTGTAAGGCTGGAAAAGCACCCAAGGGGCACTTAGTAAAGGAGAGTCATCCTTGTTAGCACTCAGGGTCAGAAGCAGCAGGGCTCGAGCTCACATCTCTAACTCCAGCTCCCTGACCCTTCCATTGACATCCCATCCACTATGCCAGGCCCTGGGCTACCACAGTGAGACAGTCATTGTCCAGGTTCCATGGAGCCCATGGGCCATCGGCTCAGTATTCAGTTTGGTAGATAGTAGGTACTCAACACAATTGCGGAACTGAACTGCCTAGAGTCAAGTGACTGGGGCAACTAACTGAAGCCCCTGAATTTCCATTTCCCCATCTGTAAAATGGGAAGAAGAACCCTGGTCTCTCAGTGCAGAAGATACATGAGATAGATGGAAAATGGGTCAAACTCTGGGGCTCTGGGAAAAGCAAGCTCTTGGCGCAGGGTAGCATTGGGCAGGGCTGTGGGGGAGGTGGGACCAAATGTAAATTCTCTTTGGCCCTGTGGCTGCTGCTCCTATCATCACATCCCAGGAACAGGAAGCCCACTCCTCAGACCGCTTAGGCTATTCTAGAGGTGCTCTCTGCAATGTCCTCCTTGGCTCCTGACGCTGCTCTAAAGGACACACATAAAGCTGGTTCCCTGGTCCTGCCAGTCTCCTCTGTGAGACTGGAAGACTATGATCAGTTCCCAGAACCAAATAGCCCCTTCCTTTAGCTGCTCCTAATGGGATCTGACTTTGAGTCCCTTCCTAAACCTCAGTCTCCCCATCTGTGACAAAGAGGGTTGATCATATTTCACATATGGGAGTTCTGCAGCTAGATTTAAAAAGAGAGAAAAAGAAGAAAGGAAAAATCAACCACTAGGCTGGCTGTGCTTGGGATCCCGGGCAAAGAGGCAATCCCCACCAGGGAAGAGGGAGGCAGGGGCCATTCAGTCACAGACTCCCCGTGACGGAGCATGGGCCCCTCCCCTCTGTTGGCTCCAGATTTCCCAAGTATAAGACAAAGAGGGGTGGTCTAGCTGGTCTTCCCTGGAGCCTGTAGAGTCCTCTGGGGCTGGACCAGGTCTAGGAAGTAAAGAACGGATGATGGACTGGCTGGGCACCGTGGAACTGGAATGACCTGGTGAAGAAGAATGGCCAGCCAAACAGAAAGGGGCATGGCAGCTTCACCGTGGGGGCCTGCTCCACCTCACCCCATCCACCCACCTGCCTACCTGGAAGCCCAGACACCACCCAGCTCAGGGCTGCACTCAAAAACAACAGCATCCCAGGACCAAGACTTTGGTTAAACAAGAGGCACAGTGCCAGCCCGGGACTGCTCCTGGAACCCTGGATTGAGAGTCTCAGGGCAGTTCCTGGCTTTATTTCCAAGTTACCATTCTGG